CCAGAAACTAAGAACCGAAATTTAGGCCGTCCCAGGCCTTTTTTCAAAAAATTTTCTCGATAAAGTTGCCGCCTCGACTTTGTAGAAAACTTCATAAAAATCTGCGGCTCCAGAACTCCTCCTTTAGTAAAATATCTGGAATTCCAGGAGGAGCTGCCGGCAACTTCGCGATGTCAGTTGCCGGCAACCTGCCGGCAGGTTGCCGGAATCCGCGAGATGGCAGCTGCCGGCAGGTCAGAGAGCACGGGAAATAGCATGCTCTTTTGAGAGAGCGAGCTGCCGGCATCTCGACGTGCCCCTACCACGTCGAGGTGGTGGCACCTTTGCCGACGGCGTCTGCGAGTTTGCGAATTGCGGCGATATCACACAATTTACGTCAGGCGAAAAAATCAAAAATTCTACTTTTCCTGAAAAAACTATCATTTTTTTCATTATATGGGTTTTTCTTTTTTAAAATGACGATTTTCTTACAGAGAAAAAATCCACTAATGCCTTAGAATCATATAGAACACGAACTGTTTTGGCAATCCCTTATAAATCTCAGTTTGCACCGATTTCGCTCCTCTCTCGCTCATATCAATCAGCTGTTCTTTCAGGTCAAAGTCTCTCACGCAATGTATCGATCCCTTTTATAGGCAGCCATTCACCAGTGCGTTCCTCCTATTGCTGGTGCAAAAGGCAATGGCTGACCGAATGGTCGAATGGTTAACGTGGTGGCACTTCAAGCTAACGCACATAGGTTCGACCGCGCGCAAGGTAGCATTTTGCGGCTGTCTGCGTCATCAACACTTAATGTGCGAAATGATTGCGTGCCAAGGTTACATAGGATTATTGAAACCTACAATCACTCCGCAAGCTGCCGGCGGAGTTGGCATCTTTCCGCGATGTGTGCCAACTTGCCGGCATCTATGTTGCCACCAGGTAGGGTAGATTACTACCGGCCCTGATATCCATATCGATTAGGATAGTGATGTCCTCGATGACGTCCATGATGTCCGCTTCGACCTCTACCTCCGTGACGAAAATAACCTCTACCTCCGTAACCTTCTCTCCAACCGTAACTCCATGGACCTCTTGGAAAACCTCCATTCGAACAGCAGGCTCTTCCGCAGCAAAACGGACAGCAACTTCCTTGAGGCTCCTCTCTTTGTGCCACTCCGTCACCAGAATTCTCTTCTCCATAGAATGTAGTTTGTTCAGAATTATCAACTTGACTTCCAAAAATAGTCTCCGCTCTTATTCCTAATCTACTTGAGAATGCCGTAAAACTCTCATATCGCGGCTGAAATATATTTACAACAATGGTTTGTTTCTTTACTAGATTAGAAAGCACATACATCAAAAACCGGTATCGCGCTGCAGGCTAAAAACAAGAAGGAGAACAAGCTTAAATACAGCATAACCTGAAAAATTTCCAAGTTACTTCAAGGGTAACACTCAGATTGATGGAGTAAAAATCTAGCACGTCTTCACATATTTAGATCAAACATAAATATTTCTGAATCATTCAATAATCTAAAGCTGAAGAAAAAATGACTTATGCGTTATCGCTTCAGTCTGTAATCAACTCAAAGGTAGTTATCTCGCTAATAACTTTGAAACACCAATAATGAAAGCAAAGGTCGCAACTGGAACGAATTAGCTTAACTGAATGACTGAAAGACTTTGAGTTAAACTCTCTACTTATCCAGTCACATTCACTGACTTTTATGTGTTCAGTTGAGAATTCTCTAACCAAAGGCCATATCAATCCAAAATAAATTACATGCTTGCATATACTACCAAGTGTAAATTATTACATAATAGTATTAGGTTGTCCTGAAATTAATGCAGGTTTTGAATTCCAACCGCGATAAGTCATACACTTCTCATTTCTAACAATAAGTAGATTGCAAGGCACCGTTCGATAGAGCAAAGCAAGCTCTACAAAATGGCAGTCATGATTTAGCAACAGCTGCAATCCACCACGAGTTCCGAGCCAAAAACTAAAAAGATTTAACTACCCAAAAAATTGAGAAAAATCGTAACTCAGTTCATAAAAATCCTATAAAAATTCTAACTCGCTCACGTAAACACTGTCCACATAAGACGTATATGTACGCCGTTGCCGTATATTTTTCTCGGTTAGAAACCAAAAAAACGAAGATTTTCATGTTTTTTGCCAAAGTGATCCTGTGCCGTTCTCACATGAGTAGTTGTATACTACAAACCTATAAAAGTACAAACATAAATTTCCAGCTCTCTACAAGTGTTAGTTCTCGAGAAACTCGAATTTTAGCTTGAACCACATGACTAGGAAAACTGTATTCGATATTTCTCGAGAACTAAAGCTTGTAGAGAGCTGAAAATTTACGTTTGTACTTCTACAGGTTTGTAGTATACAACTACTCATGTGGGAACGGCACAGGATCACTTTGGCAGAAACATGAAAATCTTCGTTTTTTTGGTTTCTAACCGAGAAAAAAATAGGCAACTGCGTACATATACGTCTTATGGGGACAGTGTTTACGTGAGCGAGTTAGAATTTCTATAGGATTTTTATGAACTGAGTTACGATTTTTCTCAATTTTTGGGTAGTTAAATCTTTTTGGTTTTTGGCTCGAAACTCGTGGTGGATTGGAGCTGTTGCTAAATCATGACTGCCATCTTGTAGAGCTTGCTCTATCGAACGGTACCTTGCAACCTACTTAGAAATGAGAAGTGTATGAATTATTGCGGTTGGAATTTAAAACCTGCACTAATTTCCGGACAACCTAATATCAACTGTTTAGAACGTCCATAAGCAATACCAAAATTACCACTGAATTTCGTAAATTATTCAACTTGCCAGGATTTCGTGACCGAGTTTTTTGTGAGCGGGCGCGAGCGCGGCGCGCGCGTATCTTCGCCATTAGAAAGCCTGCGTCTCATGCGCTCTGCGGCTAATAAAGCCGCGTTTGTATTCAAACAGTTGATTTCGCTCACGATTTGTATGCGTAAAGGGGGGGGGGGGGGCGGCGCTAGAGGGTAGGAAACGTCGGAAGAAATGCTGATTTCTTGCATCTTGTCAAAGAACAAGAGCTTCGTGCAAAAGCTTTGAATGACCTTCTCGTCTTTCGAATCCCATTGTCATTTTTAGCGTCTGCTGATCTTGCTCGTAGTGTTTTCACAGTGTTTCTTCGCATTAAAGCTTATTCCAAAGGTGGGTGCCTTATTCGAATATATTTATGGTACCAAAGGCCATCATTTTTAGCTGTCTGTCGTCTTAGCCATAAAAACCTTGAAGTTTATACTTACAGCGAGCATTAATTCCTGCCTGCCTTTTGTCAGCCTGTAGAAAATGCAGGCTCGTCACAGGTAGAAAATGTATCCGATAGCTCCTGCCAGGACGAAATTTATAGGTTCTTTTGACAAGGCGATTCGGAAGGTGATATATACCCATATATAGAGCTTTGAACGCTGATGTCAGGTATACCCTCTACATCTGCGATGAGTTTTTTTTTTTTGAAAAACGCTGTGACATTTGCTCAAAATTTTCGCGCAAAGTAAATCACGGTAGGTTCCACACAAAAATATGCAAGCTCAAACAAACCTTTCTAACATGTGTGGTGAGTCTAGTTTGTAATTTCTGAACGTTTTCGATTGTTGTCCATATATGTTGTAATCCGCAGGTCGTCTTTTTAATTTTAGACCACACTTTCATTATAAATACAACAAAGATCCAACTTGCTATAGAAAAACGCTTCGCAGATATAAAGATAAAAATAAAATCACCGTTTCATACTTCATTCGTAGGTTTACATCACTTTCCGAACCGCCACTTCTACCAAGCGAACTTCCGTTGTGAGTTGCAAAAGTATGAAATCCCTCTGCTTACTTCCGTGAAACTAATTTGTAAGGAAGTGATAAGAAGTCGAAGCGACCAGTCTGAACAAGGGACATATTGCTTAACGCAGCATAAAAGGCAAAGTAATCTGTATTTTGTGCCTTCTGAACGCTGCCTTCTGAACGCCCTTTGGACGAAGTTGTAAACCATCATGTTGCAAAGAAATCGTGCAAGTAGAGTGCAAATTTGGCCATATAAAGCCATCCTCGGCTATATGCTGGGCATACATGTGGCTAGAGTGTTATCCCATTTGAAGGTGAGCTAAATAATGTGATTTATCTCTCATTTGTACATAGGATTCCCTTGCGATAAAACTGCTATTGACTTCGTCAACGAAAGCGACTAGCAAACATGGAAGACAGATTTGGAGACAGCTTTCTATGCTGCATCCAAGGATTTGCAGCTTTTGGATTTCCTTCGATTTCGCACTTACTTGTCGTAGTTGACTCTGAGTTTAAGCTGCGTCCGGACAGCTTCACTACCGACCCCTGTTCTCCAGTGTTGCCATAACATTTTAGCAAACAACTCATAATGTTTGATAAAGGCTAGTCTAAATGTGATGCTAGACTATGCGATTGCTTAAAGGACACATTTTTTTGATCCGATTATTTTTTGTCTGAATGCAACAGCTACACTATTTTTTTTTGAAAAGAAAAAAACTGACAGAAAATTCTTCAAATTCTATTTTGAAGGGTATTTTTGCTGGTGAACAAGGGCGAGGTGCTCATGATTGCCAATTTATCGCACGAAGTCGTTCTATACGCACAAAGATGACATTTGTCTTCGCGCAAATGTTGTCACCACTGCAAACGCACAACATCAGCCATCAAATATACGGAACACTACAGAGTTGTTTGGTGTGAAATCGACCCCTCATCGCAATTGGCACGCATGAAGCAGAGTTATTTTACCTTGCAGAATCCTTACATAACAGGTATGCAGCAATTAAAGAACGAAATTTTTTTTTGTGGTTCTGGCGCTCGTTAACTATAATTATAACAAAAGGATTCATTGGTTTAGAAAACAGACATGGTCTTACGAAAATTTCACGTGATTAAGGACTGAGTTGGAAGAAACATTGTTTTCTCCCTCTCTCGACGATAATAAGGGGAACATAGTTTCGCAAATAATTCCTTTAGTAATGGTAGTGAGACTGATATCCGTATTGATCAGGGTGGTGGTGATTCTGATATCCGAAATGATTAAAGTGGTGGTCATGCGGATACCCGAAATAATGAGGATATCCGTATGACGGCTGATGGCCATACTGGTTTCCGAATTGATTAAAGTGGTGATATCCTCGACGATGTCCTCTTCGATGGAAGCGACCCCAACCTCCGTGACGTCCTCTCCAACGAGGGTGACCCCATGGGCCCCATAGTCTCCATGGAGAACCTCCATACGAACAGCAGACTCCTCCGCAGCAGAACCCAGAACAACATTCTCCTTGAGGCTCTTCATCTTCGTTCACTTCGGGATCATCAGACTCTTCTCCAGAGGTTGAAGTGTCTTCTTCTTCGGTTGATTCCACCTCGGAATCATCAGAACTCTCTTCTTCAGAGGTTGCAGCCTTTTCAGAACTATCAGAAGAAGTTTCGCCAAAATTCTCCGGACCTCCCGTTGCTACTGTGTCACTTGAGGATGCCGTGCCATTTTCATTTTGCGCCTAAAATATACTAACAATAATCATCTGTTTCTTTACCAAATTAGAAATGCACATACATCAGGATTGAACGGTACTGCGCAGTTACAGGCTAAAAACAAGATGGGGAACAAGCTTAAACTTAGCATAACCTGAAAGTTTTTCAGTTGTTTCAAGGGTAACACATGGACTGAGAGTGAAAAATCTAGCATGTTTATATTTAGATCAAGCAAAAATATTTATGAGAAAAAGGACCTATAATTATCTCAACTGAAGATTTTTTCGCTGTTTTTCGAAACAACATTAGTGAGGGCCAAGATCATAACTGAAAATTAGCTTGACTAAATGACTGAAAGAGTTTGAGTTAAACTCTCTAATTATTTAGTCAGATTCACTGACTTCTATTTGTTTAGTTGAGAGTTTTCTAATCAAAGGTCATATAAATCCAAAATGAATTATTTGCTTGCATGTACTACCAGTGCATGATATTATAGTATCAAATGTTCACAAACGTCCATAAGCAATACCGAAGTTACCACTGAATTTCGTAATTTGACTTTAACTTGCCGACATTCCATAGCAATTTTTTTCGTTATCAGTCACTTATGAGGTGACCAAGCACAACAAGAATATTTCCTTTTATGGTTCGTTGAATAATATTCAAAATATGATACAGCTTCAGCACTCTGCATTTAGAAGTACACAAAAGAATAAAGATGCATTTCTTTCTAGTAAAACAACAAACATTTCTTTCAGTGGTGCGTGAGCATACAACAACTTACTTATTATTCAACCAGTTGATTTCGTTCACGATTTGTATGCGTAAAAGGTGGACGGGTAGAGGTAAAAAGCAACGTCGGAAAAAATTACTGCTTTCTTGCATCCCGTCAAAGAACAGCTGCTTGGTTATAAAACCATAAAATAGCTGCTCATTTTCCAACTCCAGAGTATTTTTCTTAGTTGTAGCGTCTACCGTTCTTGCCCATAGTTTGCTTTTACGGTGTTTGCTCTCATTAATGCTTAACCCAAACTTGAGTGGAGGTGCCCAATACGATTATGTTTATGGTACCAGAGGTCATCATTTGAAGCTGTCTTATTGTCTCAACCACAAAAGCCGTGAAGATTATGCTTTCAACGAGCACTGATTATCTGTCTGCGTTCCATCCTCCTATCAGCTCTTTGCTGTTAATTCTCTTCCATTTTAGCAAGATAATCTGTATGCTTATGCTTGTTTTACGCTCAACCGGATGTTCAATCGAAAATTTACGAATTGTATCAAGTGCTACTATCTTCAAAAGGTCTCTGGGGCACCTTCTCTTTATTCAAACGACCTTCATGATAGCATGTGCTACAGAAGTCAAAGTGCAGAACAATTTGGATTGCGCTGACTTGAGACATGAATGCCGAAGCAGGGAAAAAGAGGAGTTCTTAAGAAGTATACCCACAATCTTTTTCCAATTGCTATTGGTCTTTTCATGTTCAGAACAAAATTATAATTGTATCAGAAGGGAGATCAAACTTTGAATTTCCACATGTTTTTTAGAATTTCTTTATGCATCTCGATGACTATACTTTAGCGCATAAACATTTTTAAAAGATGCTATAGCTTGGAGCTTTGCTCAAAATACTGCTGTAAGAACTTTTTTCTCTACCATCATTCACAAATGTACCAGGTCAATGAAGAGTGAATAGATATGTAAAGAATCTGACCCTAGGGCAAAAAAGTTTTGATGTGTAAGTGAAAGTGCTTCAATTGTGAAATTTAATATTCGCCTCAGCGAGTGCGGGGTCATGCACAGTATCTGAATTTCAGAAATAACACACAGTCTGTTTGCTGTTACATGTATTTCTGTTCGTAATTTCACGTTTGTAAGTATAGGGTAATGATCTTAGCACAGTGCAAATACTTGATGTGTGTTCTCCTATGTTATTGATGTGAGTCCTATATCAACAAAATTTTAGGCTGGAAACTAAGTTCTGCAACTTCTATAGCTTTACTCTCTTTGGATGTGTTGCACTCGAATTTTGCCACTATATGGAGTGTTTTTGAAAACGAATTAGAAAAATTCAGGCGTTTTTCACAAATTAGTGAAATTCGCGATTTTTTCGGGTTTCGAGCCAAAAGAAGCCTTCAGCAGACTAGACTATGCGTAATAATCGGGAATCGCGTACGAAGTATTGGTAGAGGTTGACTCATTTGGCTCGACAGGAAAAAATAAAATTTGATAGCATGTTAAGATTTGGCGTGATCACAAAGTCGAACGAGCCCGCTGCACCCAAGGCTGTTGCGGACAACCGTCAATGACCAAAAAGTCAGGAATTTGATATTCGCGGAGGCTTCACATAGCATGGTTATTTGACCTGCCAAGCGCGAATATCATATTCATTTGTTGAATTAACGCCTCTTTCCTTGTTTGAGGTAAGTTCCTATGCCTACAGTAACCTTACAATAAAAGCCCTTATCACGCGACTTCAATACTTTTCGTGATTAGCATGTCGGATAGCTCCCTATGCTAAGTTTCAGCCAAATCTGTCAAATTTCATGATTTTTTCCCCCTCATACCATATACCTACCGTAACCCTCACTGCGACGTCAGATTTTGGCAGATATTCAGCTGCTCTTGTAGCTTACGTCATAACCTACACATTGGTACAAATTTGAGTGTGCCATGTCGAGAGGGAGGGAAGTTATTGAATGAGTTGCAAAACTTAGACTCCAACCTAATACATTCACACCGTTTACATATTTTTTGAATAATAGACGCGGTACATACATGAGTGATGCTACATGTCGCTATATGTGTGGACTCACCGTCGCGTGGCCATATCTCGCTTCAGAGTGGGCGAATTTTGAATCCAAAGCCACCATTCGATTCAGCTCGGCGCGAAGAATCTTCTGATTTATTGAAAGTGGGGGTACGATGTCTTCGGTATTCGTTTTTCATTTTTTTCAAATTCTTCTGTGGAGGTCCTTAAACAAATATGTGAAGCAGCGCCTGTCCAACATAGAAGACTTTACTAAGTACTATTCGATAATAATGCCCTTGTTTTTGATTTTGATGGATTTTGATGCCTAACAGCGTAGTGGTACCCCAAGCTGTATATTTGCCCAACTCGCGCTCCCAGAGGTTGCTTCCGAAGTGAGAAAATTGCTTCAAAAATCGCTTTGGATGAAGAATTCGCCACGTTGGCTCCTACCCTTTGAGTGGGCGTGACCTTCGTCCCGCCCGTTTGAGCGCACCTAACCAATCCCCGTTCCGCACAACTCGACCTGCGGGTTGTCCGAAACGGAGTTTGTCAGGGTTTTCGTGGATTCCCGACTTGATATTCGAAATTAGGGACATGGAAAGGTTCCGGAAGACAAAAACATGGAAGCCGAGAATCTAGGTGACGGTGCCCTTAAAGGCAGTGTCCGGGCAAAAACTCGATTTTGAGATTTTGTGCTTACCCGGGCCTATCCGCTAGGCTGAATCCGAAAATCCACACTGGAGAGCACGAAAACTACGAAAAAAGGCTCTAACACTGGAGGGAAATCAGCAAGTGGGCGGGGTCTTCCCCACTGCGAATTCACGCTTCCAGCTTCCAGAGCAATTTTCTCGAATCCGTTAGCCGCCCTGACATCACCACCGATCAAGTGCAATTGAATGACTTGAAACCGGAATCAAAAAGATCGCCCCCGAAGCTGGGAGCGTGAATTCACCGTGGGGAAGACCCCGCCCACTTGCTGATTTCTCTCCAGTATTAGAGCCCTTTTTCGTCGTTTTCGCGCTCTCCAATGTGGATTTTCGGATTCAGCATAGCGAAAAGGCCCGAGTAAGCACAAAATCTCAAAATCGAGTTTTTGCCCGATCTTTTAAGCAAATTATAAAGCATAATAAGTTTGTCGTTTGAGCTCTCCTGGCAAGTGGCTAAGGCAATCCACCTTATAATCGTATCTCGCTTCTCCAGCTGCAAGCACGGAGTTTATAAGCTTTTTACTGAGTCACAAAAAATACGAGATCTTTTTGTTCACTCCTGTTGTTTACTCTCAGATGTGATTAGCGTGATTGATCGAAATTCCGAGTTTAAAGCTTATTCAAAAGATAGTGATAAGAAGACGAAGGATCCTCACAACAAGCCGCAACTTGTCCAAAGCAGCATAAAAGCGGGTCTTTTCGTATCTGTTGACGCCCTCTTGTACGAAGTTATAAGCCATCATACTGCGAAGAGCGTGCATGTACTAAATTGCAAATTTGGCCATACAGAGCCATACTTGGCTTCATGCTGGGTAAGCATGTAGCTAGATTGCTTACATCCCATGAAGGTGAAGGTGGGCTATGTGATTAATTTGATTTGTACTTAGGATTTTCCTGCGATAAAACTGCTCTTGATTTCGCCAACGAAGGCGAGAAGTCAGCCTTCTACCTATGCTGCATCGGAGGGCTTACAGCTTTTGGATTGCGGATCATGACCATTTCCTTGTCAGTGTTGACTCTCAGTTTAAGCTGCGTTCCGACAGCTTCGCTACCGATTTTGTCTTTCAGGGTTACCATTACACTCTAAAAACATAATGTTTAATGTCATAATGTTTTGGAAATGACTAGTCTGAATATTGTGCAGGACTATGCGATTGCTTGAAGGACGCATTTTTTTAACCGACTTTTCTTGATATAATGCAACAGCTACACCTATTTTATTTGAGAAGAAACAAAACTGACCAGCCCTCATTCACAGTTGGCACGCATAAAGTTGCGTTATTCTACCATTTATAGAATCCTTATATTACAGGTATTTAGGATTTGAAGAATGAAATTTTTTGTGTTTTATCTCTCGTTGACTGGAACGGAGATTGTAACAGAAAATTTCATTGGCTTCAGAAAACAAACACGGTATTACTAAAATTTCACGTATTCAAGGATTGAGCTGGAAGAAATGTTTGTTTTTTCCCTCTCCCGACGATAACAAGAGAAAAGAAAACGTAATAAGGCAAATACTTCCTTCAGTAGTACTGATACTGATAATACTGATGTCCAAAATCAGGGTAGTAATTTCCTCGATGATGTCCATGATATCTTCTT